AATTATATTTAATTCAGAACTATAAATTATAATACCATAAATTACGTTTAGGAAATAGAGATATAATTGATCGACGTAATTTTCCTTACTAGTAATTGTTTCTTATATAAATATGCTATTAAACGTTTAAGCTAATTAATAAATCAAAGATTGTATTTCTGTGTAATCGATCTCCCCTCATTATCTATTAATCGTGACTTTGCACTATATTTCGAAATAGTTTTAATTTTTGGTATTATTTTTAAATTTAATTTTCTGCTAATATAGTAATACCTATTTAAACTCTGTCTTTGACCAAAATTTAAACTACTTGTAATTGTAATATAAATGTTGAATAGTCCTTAGTTTAATGATCGGCTAGACTCATACTTCATAGATTTGGGAATTCGGTCGAGTCTGCTAGATGGGTATGAAATCACCTAATGTATTGTCTACTGATAACACATTGTAGTTATAATCTTAATATAATTATAATTGCTTTTTTATTTAAGTAATACATTGATTTATGAGGATAGATAATGTTAAATAGCGGCATTCAAAAGAAACATTGATAACAATAATAATATTATTTTTATTAGAAAATACTCATTAAATTTAACTATGTAATTTAATTTTAAATTTTTCATTGATCTAATACTACCTATAAACTTACTTATATTTTTGAGTAATTCACTATCGTGAGTAGAACATACACATATTCTGTTATTATTGCTTTTCAATACAAAATAATATTTTCCTCAAGCCACGTATTTACTAATTTGATGCTTTGAATGTTTTAGTCAGTGGAAACGTACAAAGTGGAAACCTTCTAGGAATTATGGGTCCAAGGTATACATTAATTAATTTTAATATACCTAAATATTTTTATTCATTTATATAGCATAATTTTTTTATTTAGTGGCTCAGGAAAAACTACATTGATGGCTACCATAAGTCACCGAACTAAAGGTTTGTAAGGCGTATAAAAGATCTTATCCTTATTTGATTATTGTTTATTTTTTTTAGGGAATTTCGAAGGAGAATTATTGCTTAACGGACAACCAATATCTGAAGAAGTCATGATTAAGATATCTGGTTTTGTTCCACAACACGATATCAGTTTTGATCAATTGACAGCATTAGAACACTTGTCTTTTATGGTACTTACTTAAATAGCATTGTGTAATATTGTATAAAACTTAATTTTTATTTTTATTTTGCTATTTTAAGGCCAATTTGAAAGTTTCTCGCAAAACAACCAAAATAGAATTGAAAGAACACATAGATAAAATAATTTCCACGTTGGGAATGACTAAGTTCTTGGACACGAGAATATCGTTTTTGTCTGGAGGAGAACGGAAAAAAATTGCTCTAGCAGTTCAACTGTTAAACGACCCTCCAATATTGTTTTGTGATGAAATAACAACAGGTCTGGACAGTTACTCGGCCGCGCATATTGTGAACACTTTAAAAGGTGTCGCACGAATGGGTAAAATTGTGATCTGCACAATTCATCAACCGGCGTCTGGTGTCTTTGGAAAATTCGATGAAGTAATATTGCTATCAAATGGACGGTTAGCATATCAAGGCCCTGTCAAAATGGTCCATCAGTTATTTCAAAAGTACTAATACTTCAAAATTGTATATGACTATAAAATATTAAAAATAAATGTGTATTATATAATTTAGGTTCAATTATGAATGCCCTGATATGTTCAACGAAGCTGACTTTGTGATTTCTATTCTTAATTCTGAAAATGAAAAAGTGAAAGAAAATGTAATTGAGATGTGCAAGTTAACTTCAACGGACCAGCAAACGAAACTAAACTATGATTTATTTAATAATCAGGTAAATAGAGTTAAATAGTTTTAGAAATAAGTTTGTAATATAGTAATTACGAATAATGTACATATTTACAATATTTTCAGATTAAATTTGATACTCAAAATTTAGAAACGTTAGAAACGTAAGTAAACGTGTAGGTATTTTTGTTAAATTGCATTTTGTAACTTTTACAATTTATCATGATTATTTTATATTTATAATGCATTAAGTCGGGTGAATTACAATAATAATAATAATAATAATAATAATATTAAATACATATTTGTATTGCAGATTATATTAAAAATATAAGAAAAAATGATTATGATTTTATTAATTTTTATTTAGACTAAAACCAACATGGCCAACACAGTTCGGTTTGGTTTTGAATAGATCCGTCAAATGCTTTGTAAGAAATTATAAGAGCAATCTAATGGAACTAGGAACTATTTGGGTAATTACTATACATTGAATAATGTTTTCATTAATATTAAATTTAAAAAAAACAAATATGTTGTTGAATATTAATGAATAATTAATAAAATTACTGTAATGTTTTATGTTACATAAATATATATGTGGTGTAAAAATATCATCATTTTTTGAGTAGGTATTTGCTTAATAAATTCACGAAAAAATGTAATTAAAAAAAAATAATATAATTTTAAATATTTAAAATTTTATTTTTCATTTGATTTATATGGCAAATGGTCACAAATATAAGTTTGGATAAATCCGCATTCCATTAAAAGAAATATATCATTTTCTAACATTTACGTAAGATATTTTTTAATAGACATAAAAGTGAAAACACAAAACGCATAGTTATTTTAAGTTTTGAAATTTTATGACTACAAATAGAACATTTTTTATTTTAATAAACTAAATGTTTTATATAATATTATCATTAATTATAGAATACTCTATTCTATAATCAATGATATTATGTAGTGGGATTAAATAAAAGCATTAACTAAAAGTTTTCGGAGATGGTTATGAGAACGTTTGTAATAAATTACTCTAGTTTAGGTATTCTTCAATATTTGTATAGTTTTATTTTACTATACATAACTAACCATTTTTTTCAGACATGTTTGATAAATGTTTTATTTTTTTAGTATTTATTATGTTTATAGTTTTTAGGTATTATTATTTCTGCTCCATTTTCGAATCTGAAACTCGATACAAATGCAGTACAAAATTGGGAAGGATTTTGGTTAATATTCGTCATTAACTATGTGTTCCACTTCAGTTATTCTGCTATATCAACATACCAAGTTAAATTTGCGATTGTCCACCGAGAAGTTCACAATAAAGTTTATCCGTTGAGTGCATATTACATGTCTGAACTGATGATAGTGGTATGCAACATGATAAATGTACATTGATTACATAACAATCATATCATAAAAATATTTATCTTATAGGTTTTGTGGATAATGGTAAAAATGCTATTTTACTGTATATCTGCGTTTTGGATTGTTGGTGCTTATTGGGGTAGCTTGCAATTATTGGTGTTCTATTTAATAGCGTTTGCAGCCTTTTCATATGGTAATTATACCCGACTTATCAATACATAATACCAATTTCAATTTAAAAATGAAAGGTTTTTCAAACTGTATTCATCATCATATATTCTCACACATACCTGAATGTAAATATAAAAGACTATTTTGATAATTGTTCAGCGTGAAGAATAAATTATTGTCAGTAAATAATTATTTATAATAAAAAAAAAATATATATTTTATAATGTATAAGCAGGGCTCGGATTTAAAGGCAAAAACCTTTATTTAAAAAATAATTATTACATAAAAATGTGTTTCGTTAAATATCGCGTTAATGGATATATTTTTTGCCTTTTTACTTATAAATACCTTTTAGTGTTTGATTTTCAAGTTATCCTATAATATTATATATGACATACGTATGAATGGTGCAAATCCATAAGAGCTTGCAAAGACGGCGCATTGTCAATGTCATATTTAAAATTATTTTTAGTGATAAAATAAATTATTTTTTATTTTTTCAGAACAAAATTTATATAAATATAACATTGACAAACTAGTAAAATTGTATAAAAGTCTATAACATTGTTAAGTTTTTAATTGCTGTTTTATATAAATTAAATGATTTTGTTGCCTTTTTTCGAATTTTAAATGCTCCTTTATTGTTTATACTGCCGTTCAAATCCGAGTCCTATTTATAAGGTATCAACAATTATTACCCAAATATTATTGTTATTTCAGGAAGTTTCTTGTCAGCATATTTTATTCGTCTAGAAAACACTATGATATTTGCAACAATATACGATTTCCTGACATTGCCTCTCAGTGGTGCTTATCTATCATTTATGTAAGTTGATTCCCAGTTGATAATATTTCCTTAAAGCTATTAGTTAGCTAATATATATTTAATTTGAAAATTAGGTCTTTACCAAAAGCGATATATTCTCTAAGATACTTTTCGCTATTCTTCCTTGGCTGTGAAACAGTATCAGTTTTATTTTGGGACAGAATCAAATCCTTACGTGAGTATATTTAATTGATAATTTAGAATTCAGCTTTAGGGAACTTCTTCTAAATAATAATATTTTTTTGTGTAATTTATAGCGTGTATTGATGTTACTAATTGTTTGGATAGCGGGAAAGCAGTGTTAAGAAAATATGGCTACATAAGTACTGAAATTTATTCAGACATGGTGATATTAGTTATTTTTAGCCTTATAGCAAATATATTTGGTTACTTAAGTGTTCTTAAAAAAATGAAAAAACAACCAGCCTATTAAAATGTAAATGTTTTCATAAATATAACAAATATATATATAAATGTAATTAATTATACATACTATGTAATAGAAAACAAAATATACTATCTTTAAACATTCATAACAATTATTATTTATCATACTTTCATTATCTAAATAATTTGTAATTGTTTATATTAAATATTATTGAAATATAGTTAATAAATGGAACCTCTCTGAATTTTGTAAAAACGTGTTGGATATGAAATATAGTTCAATGGAAATTATTTTAGCTGAAGCTGAAACTATACTAAATTTGTCTTTTGTTTTTATACTTTCATGATTCAAAATTTAAAACATTTAACGCAAATAACTAAATACGAATACATTAGATATAATTTAATAAAGGTAAGTAGTATAAGTATATGCTATATATTCATATACATCATATATCAATAATAGTATAAAATGTTTTTAATAAATAAAGATCATTGTATAACAGTCAAGTCAAATTTATTGTAGATTTTATAGTTTTGTGATTTTTTTCTAATTATTTAGGAAATTATGCACTTGGAAGTTTTGTGCATCAGGGTGTCTTTATTTTTCTGTAGAATATTAAATAATTGTACATTAGTTTTATAATAGACAATAGTTATTGTTTACGTTCGATAAATATTTAAAATTAGACAGTTAGAAAAGTTCTTCAATCAGTCGTTTCGGCGGGTAATGCATCTTGTAATCTTTTATTTTCTTCCGAAAGTATTGAAAACTTTTCGTCATACTTAACGCGCATATTTTCAAAACGTTCTGATTGTTGTTTATATTCAGATCTCAGTTCATCGTTCAATCTGAAAATCATATTTTTTTTCTCATAAGAAGACATGTTATATAAATATATTGTAGATTGTTGAGTTTTTGATTCGGATAGTATTTGACGTACATTGAATTTTCTAATCATGGTAACTGTTATTTTGTTAATAATGTGTGCTAAAAGCATAGACTTTGTACTCTTATACTGAGTATAAGGTCTATGGCTAAAAGTAAACTACACTTTTATGTAATTCAAGATATCAGATATTTTAAAGGGCGATGTGGCAATGTTTTTTTATACATTTTGTATGTGATATCCTGATATGTCTACACGAGTATACTCATATATACATCTATACAAGCATGAATTTTACTAATTAAATGTTGTACAAATTAATGAATTTGAGCATAATATAATATGTTGAATATGTTCATAAAAATGTATATAAAACATGTTGGTTTTTGGTGTACCTATTGGTGTAACTGTTTAAATCGAACTACTTATTACGTATTTACCCACACAAAATGAATACATTTTTGATACTTTAATGCAGTTATTTATGGGTACATTAAAAAAAACGGGCTATGTTAAATTTGATAATATCATAATAAGCTTCAAGTTCAAAAGTAAACGAAACAAGACTGTTGAATGATAATGCAATTTATTTTTGATGCATTGTTGAATACTTTAATGCACTCGTTTGTAATTATTTTCATTATATACTTACTTCGCAGCTAAATTCATTTTTTCAATTATTGCACTGTGGCGTGTTCTCTCCTCATTGATTTTACCTTGAAGACTTTCTAAATCTTCCGTCATACGATTCACTTCTGTGTTACGAATAGCCAACATGTGTTTTGTGATGTCCACTACTTCTTTTAATGAACTCGTCTGTAGAAAAAAAACCGCAAAACACAATTACTCGGTTTATTACTATAAAATAACACACCAAACGTCTCACCACATGCCTATCGAGTTGTTTTTTTTCAAATTGATTTTTTTAAATATGAAAAATTATAACTGTATTAAAGAACTATGGTTAATACCATTCATAGAATATTTTGGCTTATCAAACAAAAAAAAATTGCGATTCTCAAAAATTGAGATACAATCTATAGAACTAATAATTTATGTGAATGTTTGAATAGTTAAATTACTATTCCCATTAGGTGTAATAACAGTTACGTACATTTTTAAGTTTTAGAAGGACTGATGAAAGTGGGTAGATCGTAGACATAGTAGGTGGATGGGTATGTATGAGGCCAAATACTATATAGTTCATTATTTATGTGGTATCGGTTAATACCTTTTATTATGCACAGTTAATTTATAGTATTAGGTTAACATCGCACAAACTTGTAACGTGAGCGCTTCAATGTGTTTTTCTTGTGTGACGCATCGGTCGGCTTTTTCTTTTAACAAGTCAATCACTTTAACTAAAAATTTCTGTAGATTTCTGTTCTGTTTTCTCAAATCTTCAGGTGACAAATCAGACACGTCGCGTAGCACTTCACCCATGTCTCCCATATCCTATAACATAATATTTATCAGTTGTATTACAGAGAATATAAACGATTATTAATTAAAAAAATGTACTGTACTTTCCCCACTCGATGAGATATCGTGATTGCTGATTACTGATTAGTATAACAGAAACGTATGGGAGTAATATTACAGAATCGTCAAACGATGAAATATTGTACAGATTTTTAAAATTATTTCAATTCAAGACAAGACAATTTATGGGCTTTAATATTAATTAGTCTGATTCAGGTTTAAGGTCTTCCGTATAATAAAATGTAGATATAGTAGGTATATAGGCACACCTGGTGGGTAAATTGTTTGTTAAGTTGGAAATTTGTTAATTTGTATAAATTTCATATTTTAGCTATACTTTGTTTGTGTGTGTTATTTTCTTATGAAACATTTTCTAAGATATAATAATGATTCTACATGTTGAATGATCAGATTAATAATTAAAAATTCTAAAACAATTTTGTATGCTTTTAGTTATTAATTATTATGCTCATGGTTATAAATTATAGTATGCATATATTAAAAACTGGTCTTGTAGTCATACCTTAACGGATCCGTGGTTAGAGGCGTCCATAATATTATATGACGAACACGATTACACGAACAACAATATTAAAATAGTAATACTAATGAAGTGAACTATCTTACTCGACTAGGAATAAAGTATGTGTGCTAAACGAAAGTCGAAAAATCAAAATATGTCATATGTTTTAGAACAGCCAGTTCCATGATCCACATTTGTAGGTTTGGAATGATGCCAATCGATTGGTTTAAAAATAACTTCAAGTCAAGGGCCCTCCTTGTGGTATTGTTAGCAAAAACGTCGAAACGACCTCAGGAATGATAAAATATTTTAATCATTTGGTATATAATACGTTATAAAAATATGAATATCACGGAAGTTCCTAATGGAGTTATCACTGTCTTAATGAGATAAATTCAATATAATGAGCTTAAGGAAATTTGTAATACCTATAATATTTCAATATTTTAAATCATCATATTATATTATTATTATTATTATTTTAAAACTGTAAAAAATTGTATTGCCTAAAATAATATTATTATTTAGAAGTTTATAACATTAATTTTTTCAAAATCTACAATACAGAAAAACACTATTTCGACTGAGACAAATAGTTAATGACGTTACTGCAACATCACTTAACTTCAAAGTTATAGATTGCTCAGGAAAGAAAAGAGAATAAACAAATTAATTCCGAGAAATAATGGTACTTTTACTTTCCATAGATTAATAAAATAAATTAATTGTTCCTAGTTTGAAAACTATAAAATTAATATCTTTATACTACACTGAATGGTACAGAATGGGGGTAACGGGGGAAATGGGGCCTCATGACAATCATAACTGCCGCCAGTCTGCATGCTCAAAAAGGTTTACTTATCTCGTGGCACAGAGTATAGTATAATTAAATATTTTATGTATTATATAGTATACGAGGTATGAATGTATGACAGGAACATAATACAGATATTAAAGATATTGTAAAATTGACATATGGTAGGTACGTGTTGTTTGATTAAATATAAACTGCGTGGATACGTCTAATTTTTAATGATATTAATAACAGTGCGTAGGTACTATAACATGTTATGGCTTATACATTCCACAATAAATTATGATACAGTACTGAGTATGGGGGACGAGGTGACCGAGTGGTCTGACTCTTCCGCTGCGACTCAGCCGGTCGCGGTTCGATCCTCGGCCACCGGGCGGCATTTTTCTCCGGACAAGTCGCGGTGACCGGAGATCAAGTGCTGCCATCCCCCACCCCCGGGGCATGGCAGAAACCTACGGGTGCCCCATTCGAAATTCTGCCAAAACAAACACACACGTGTTCCCCCCTACCGTACCAAAAACATACAAACCATCAGTACAAAAACCTACAGTACCTACTAATAGCTAATGGCCACAGTTGCCGGGCTCAGGATCAATTAAAAAAAAAAAAAAAAAAGTACTGAGTATAGACATTAGAACAAAATGACGACCTTATAATGACGTAATAAATGAAACGTAATGACGAGTAATCTATGATCAGTTAGTAATAGTTAAGCCTTGACATAAACTACCTTTTGTTGGAATTTTTATTGGAATCAAATTTATATCTTCTTATTAATACTTAATACAAGATTCCTCATCAACTGTCTTACCTTTAAAAAAATTTTATAAAAGTTTCAAATTAATCAATGATGATCGTTTAAAATTCAAATTGTTTTGATATTAACCCGTAAATGAAGGAATTCGCATCTAATACTTTTCATTGTTGTAATTAACGAATCACTGTATAGTATCTACTTGCAATTTTCACCAAATTTTTATTTTGTCATTTTCTATAGATTAATTAATATAATTTCATTAAGCTTGAAAATGTAATACAAGGTTACTTATATGTTGTTATTATAGCTGTTTAAAAATAAATAAGGAAACTTCACACGATTATTTTTTTTAAGGATGGAATTTAAAATTTAGATAAAATTTGCATATTATTTTATGTGGTTAAAAATGCATAAATTGTTCAATTTTTATAGCAAAGGATTGAACATATATAACAATATAACAAGGTTTTCAATAAGTATTTCTACAGTAACCAAAAATATAATATAAACACAGTTTTTTTTTTATAGATATTTTAAGGTACAATTTGGACAAAATTAGATATTTAAATTAAGATTAACGATTTTGGTTATTTTATTGTTATTAGTTATTATATTATTATTATTTAAAAATATTATTTGTGGGTAGGTGCTTGAAACTTATATTGAAAAATTTTTCACTTTTTAAAGGGTTAAAGTATATTATTATTTATTATATTGTATACACACAATGGCATTTGCAAATGCAATTTTTTGGCAAAAATTAATTGAACCTACTATATTACTAATGACCAATAACAAAGTAACTTTCTTTAACAAAAAAATACTTATTAATTATTACTTTAGGATGATAGATCTTTTTCGTTCAGAATAATTTTTCGTATATAATTTTCATCCAATGATATAAAATCTTATACTATTGAATTAAAATTTAACATATCCATTCCAGTGACCTCTCTAGACATCTACTGTTTACTGTACTCAGTTTATGCATTGACAACATTATTATTAAGCTCAAGTGATATGATTGAATATAAAAATAAATACTCACTCTAATATTGTAATGAAGTTATTTTTTTAACTAAAAAATAACATAACTTGACCGAATAAATAAAACTTAAAAGTAATTGAATTATAAAATCATAATTTTTAAAAGTAAATCGATTTGTAATATAATTTCCAAAATAATGTAATTTTCCGAACATCTTGTCTAGAATCTAGGGGTACTGGTGAGAAAATGCATTAAAAAAATATTTTTTAACTTGTGGACTAGTTTGTATGGTTCAATATGGTATATCAGCTGACAAAAAAAAAACGTAACATCACAAAGATTTGTAAGAAATATGTACTGACCTTATACTCAGTATATATGGTGTATGAATTTATCCGCTTCAACACGATTGCGCAATTTTTCTTTTTTTGACCCGGTTAATTACACCACGATTGCGCCCCGATCCCTTTTTACCTGTTAAAATCACAACACCATTGCGCACCAAATGATATGTGTATATACTATATACTATGTATAATAATTTATATACAACATAAAATAATGTATACATTCAATACATTTTCATATACACGCACTTGAACCATATAACTAGTTATTAGGTCTATGACTTATACTTATTACCTATTAATAATATAATATCAACAAACAAATAATATTGAGTATATTGACTTTAATATAATTTATAATACTATATATTTTCATTTGAAAAAGTGCATTTTGTGAATTTATAATTTGAGTGCATGTAATATGTATAATATGCAAGTTATAAAAAGTATGTATTGTATGTATATTGTATGCATTATTTTATATTGTATGTAAATTATTATTTATAGTATATACACATATCATTTGGTGCGCAATGGTGTTGTGATTTTAACAGGTAAAAAGGGATCGGGGCGCAATCGTGTTCCAAATTTTTTGCGCAATCGTGGTGTAATTAGTCGGGTCAAAAAAGGAAAATTTGCGCAATCGTGTTGTAGCCGAATTTATCATATATTATAATATTTATGATCTATGAAAATCGAGGATTGTCACCATTTGTTGGAGTGGTATAGCTAGATTTCACCGGAAGATGAGTCAGTTGATGATCACTTAAGTTTGTTTTCATATTCTTTTGGAGTTTAAATTTACTTTTTAGTCTTAAATAAATATGTATTTCCACAGACAATTTGCTAACTGGGGTGACGTAGATGTACATAATTTTATTCATATAATGACCCGAACAATTCAAACGCCGTCTTCGTTTCACCATACCCAGATATTAATATGCACCTATTTTGCCTATACTATACGCCGGGCAACACCTTAAGCTTGCGTGAAGTACCTATTTAAAACTTAATAGTTAAAACAATATAATATTATTTATATTCATATTTTATTTGCACCTCATTTTTATCATTATGTAGGCCGAATTTTATTGTAGTCGATATCTTAGATGAAGGTATTTAATAATTTACAATCATAGTTTTGATTAAAATAATATATAATAATTAATAATACATACACTTCAATATAAATTGTTTGTTATCAAGAGTCATAGTTAGATCCAGAAGAACTATACAATCTATAAGTCTAGAATAAAGAGACAAACTTTGTTTCTAAAAATGTACTCTTTTCTGGACGTTTTCAGAAGTAGATTATTAATAAAAAATGCACAGCTGATTATCAGTTTTTACGTTTTTTTGGAAAATATATTTAACGATGAATCGTTATAAATTGTTCAGCTCATAAAATTAAGCATTCATAAATATGCGTATGTATATACCTCATACATATTTTATGATTGGCGCTGTATAGATCATTTAATTAAACAATCCGCTCGTTATCACTGTATCAAGACTATGCATTTTGGAAATTAAAAAAATAAAATATAAAATGTTATTTAATAATGTATTGGAAGCTGGAAACTGCAGTCTACTATAATTTAAAGTTCCATTAAATGAATAACTATTCAATTCACCATTGAATGATAATTCAGAGGTCACTTTTGGATAGTCTTGTAAAAGATATTTTTTAAAAGTATTCAAATATAGATGGCAGGTACAGATAATTATTTTGAAAAGTATTTGATTACATCTAAAAATACTTTAAAAAAGTATTTATAGATTCTTTAATTCTTTCAAATTATTCAAATTATTTTTCCTTATAAACCAACTGAACCGATTTTAATGTCTTGAGGTAACTTTATAGAGCATATTACACTGTATTATTTGGTTATAACTATAAAATACTCATCTGATTTATATGAAAATTATATTTAATTTAAACGTTAGTTAACTCTGATTTATCATTCCTTAACTAACATCCAGAGTTACTTATTAATTTTGTTGTGTTCAAAAATTAGAATAGACTGCAGTTTCTGTCTAATCTATTAAAATATAATTTTATAGTTTTTTAATTTTTTTCTTCTTAAATTGCATTAACATATCAAACATGCGTTTCTGTCCCTCTTCCCCTATGTATTTTGAACGTATTAATGTTCATTATTTTTACATTTTTATTTTATATACTCTTGCTGAGTGTATTTACCCTCGGGTGTCTCTGAACCTTTTGCTTCTTTTATATAATACACACATATGCACATAATTATATGAATTTATACATTTATAATCCCTTTACCTTTATAACCTAAATTTAAAGTTAACTATATTTTTTTCAGTAAGTGTGGCAGAGGTGCAATGAGTTTATATCATTATAATACAGTTAGGTAGCCCTGTTTCACTGTTCCACAACTCACAAGTATCAGGTATGATTATATTATTAGTAACTATATTACAAATACGTGGTTCATAATACATGTTTATCGTACAGAAAAAATAATTATACCAAAATCCAAATAATGTAAATTGTACATAATTGGTACTTTAGTAATAATTAACTGCAATAATAAAGTTTACCATACGTTTGAAAATTGATAATTTTTATATTGTTAAATTAGTTTTAAATATCAAAATCAATACGCATAGTGCCTGGGCGGCTAGGTCAAAACGGATGCCCAATTCTTACGGTTTCATCCAACGATCATGCTTAAACAGTTATGGGCACATGTCTCATTTCTATGCAAACTTTATGTTTAATACTTTATACTTGGTAGTTATTGTTACAGATAAATACATTGTGAAAAAAACTTTAACAAGGAATCTTATCATATTCGAATATAATTATTTTTATATTACATATTTTCACTCAATCATCATAATAGCCATTGCAACTATATCTATACATCAATAAATCACATTCATGGAATATTCATTTTTACCTTTACTCATTCCCTGTTACTGTTCTCTTCACTTTAACCAGCCAATGAGAAAGATTCTTAGTTTGAAATGATTTGAGTGTTTTTCTAACAGTAAAATACCAAATAATTCCAATGATGGTGCATATAAGCATTTCTAAGTAATAGCCATTCACTGTTACAATACAATTTCCATTATTTGCTTTACACATCTGAAATAAAATATAACATATATCATATTTACATGATAAAAATATTAATAAATTCAAAATTGAGTACCTACTTTATTGTTATCAATTATAAAATGATAATTCTATAAAATGCCAATCAAATTGTTTTTTTAATCAAAAAATCAAATGTTAAATTAATTTTTAATACATTTTGCTTAAAATAATTTTCGTTCTATATCAATTTATATTTTAGATTATGAGCGGAGCGAACAGCCTAAATATGAATTGATTCTACGATGGTGTTTTTTTTGGTTATTATATTAATATTATTCTGTCAGATATTTTTGCAAACATATCTATCGATTGGTATCAAAAAATAATGTAGTATGTCCTCAAATTTAATTTTATAAAATAATATAATACTATGAAAATTTTATAATATCTTACATTTCGAAGATCTATTGTAGAACAGTTATTTATAGAATCCAATGAACATTCTTCGAACGTCAACACATCAATCATTCCCAGTGCAGCAGTAGACGTCCACATATATCCTAAATTTGCAAGAGTATTCAATAACGTCATATAAGTACAACCGAAACGAGGATCACTTATCCGAGAAAAAAAAGCTAATATAGCTACAAACATTACTTGAGACAGAATCTATAAATTACATACACAAAGATTATTAATTGAATTACCTTAACAGATTTTCATAAATACATTAATGAAAAATAATTAAAATCCATCCGTATTGCAACATTTAAAGTAATGATACCTACTGAAGTAAAATACTCACTTGTTGTATTGATAATAACAATACGAGAAGTGGGTAGTAATATATTGAATTATTTTCTCCATTAAATGTAATCATTTTGGGCGTGTAATAAATTTGCATAACAAATCCAATGTTCAAAAGTAATCTAAAAATATTTAAAATCATGTAAATTAAATCTCTACATAAAATATATATTTGTAATTTTGTGACTATAAATCAAATACTAATATTAATATTATGTGTTATTTAAAAGATGTTTTAAGTTAGATGTGTGTGTGTGTGTGTGTGTGTGTGTGTGTGTGTGNTCGAATGGGGCACCCGTAGGTTTCTGCCATGCCCCGGGGGTGGGGGATGGCAGCACTTGTTCTCCGGTCACCGCGACTTGTCCGGAGAAAAATGCCGCCCGGTAGCCGAGGATCGAACCGCGACCGGCTGCGTCGCAGCGGACGCGTCAGACCACTCGGTCACCTCATCCCCCAAACAATATTTTGTCAATTAAGAAGTCCTCAAATAAAATAATAATTATCAACTGATATATGATATGAATTAGTCTATTATATTTATATAAGTGTCCTTAACGGCGGTCTCTGTATTAGGTGGACGGGGGTAACACAATATACTGATAAATGATGATTAAATAAATGGAATATTGTCTCTCTACTCATTGGTTTGGAATATTAAAATATTGTATTGTTTAAACATGGGCATCCATTAAACACGAAAGAGTAAAATCAGTTATATTTACGCATGGTACATACCATATTGCGCCATACCCAGAACAAGGCGAAAAATAACTATTTTAAGACTCATCCGGTGCTGTCCGGCGAGTACGGTTTCGTCTCGACTCCTCCAGGACATTATCTCGTTATAGCAACTAGGCAGGAGCACGAAGTACAGAGTCGGTATCGAGTAGCCACGGACTGGTGGTTGTATAGAAATTAGAAAGTACTTATATAGATATCGCGGTCAGTGGTAGATAGAAATGACCGAGGACCTTATCAAGTGGGTTTTCTTAAATGGGCCTTACTTTGAAACGATTTCCTAAAATATTTCCAATGATAGACGGAACAATTCACATCGGCCAAAAACGGTCACATTATTGTTAATTTTATGTATATTATTTTGTTGTATGTACCTAGGTGTAAATAAGTAAAAATACCTTTTATAGCTACCTCTTTAATTTTACTTTGTTATATCTACCTGAAAGGTACGATTTTCAAAAATAAGCTCATCGGTTTTGGACCTGAAGTGTATTTCCCTATAATGAATGGGGTAATAATGTTTACTCCAGACATTACTGAATCTATTATTGAAAGGTCTTCTTTTGATACACCTGCGTCCATGAGTTTTAAAGTAGACACATTGTCAGTTGCAGCATATCCAATCTTTGATAAATACAAAAATAATAATAAATAATTTACAATATTGGAGAGTTTAATTGTTTATGTTATGCGTTTTCAATGATACCTGTGGGTGTGGGAAAATACAATATTAAATTGAAACCAATACTTTTTTTTCTATGAAGGTATGAAATGGACTAATATAATAATTAAAAAAAAAACAATATTCATATTATAATTACCTTTGAAGTTATCATTAATATAGCCAGAATTCGAACACTAGGTAACTTTAATATGTCCCATAATAGTAAATAGTTTTGAACTACTTTGATTTTTTCACTATCGTCCTCAAATGAATTATCTTTTTCTTTTTTGAATAAGCCAACTAATGTTGTTATTAATATGAATAGTATGCCCCAGCCGTATAATAAGTCTGTAAATATTTAAAAATTGAACAGTATATGTTATGTACATTTATTAAATAATATAATGTATTTAGAAAGTATAGAAACCATACTCGTAAACTATTGTAATTGTGAGTGAATATCAAAAAAAAAAAAACAGCTTGTTTATACAATCGTATAAAATGTGATGCATTTTTAACTATAAAATAATCTAGTGTTCGTAAATATTCCCGTGTTTATATCAGTAGTTCCTCCTCCCCCAAGTACTAGCCTATGTGTTTACAGAGACTTTCTTAAATGTTCAAAATGTCAAGAGTCATGGCAGATACAAAACATAATAACACGTAGGTATTATATAAACAGGTCATTGTAAACCAATACATTCCTCCCTCCACCTAAAATTGGAAAAGTCTTTTTTGTTATCTTATACGGAAATAATCTGATGTTCAATGTACCATATGTTTTTATATTGATCTAGGGGATAATATTTGTTTGTTTTTTTAAATATTAAATCACTTTGTCTTAATAATAATAGAAGTATTTAGAAACGACCTAACAGACCTAACAGTTAGTATAATAAATCGATTAACTTGCACCGTCGCTGGTCCGAACCTCGGTCACGAGTGGCACTTTTCTTCGGGCAGACATCTGTCTGGAAAGAAAGGTCGCCATCACCCAACCGGACATAGCAGAAACCTACGGGTGCCCAATTGCAATTCTGCCACAACATAAAAAATCACACTCGTGTTAATAACCTACCGTTCCTCCCCCAATCAAAACAACAAAAACCTACAAAAATCTCAGTTCAATGGCCTCAGCTGCCGCGGACTTAACTTAATAAAATAAAAAAAAATTAATTAATCGATCATTTACTTTTTACAGAAACTATGCCTCCCACGCCGGGCACACTGCGGAAGTATTTATTACAAAACTCTTCAGACGTAAACAGAATGAGTACCATGGAACCTATCATAGAACCTATTGTTTGTCCTGATGCATTGCAAGTAGATGCATAGCCTACGTTATTCCTGGAAAAAAAAATTACTGCTGTAAATCATAGTCGTCTATATAATATTCATTATGATGATTGATGATGTATTATAATACCTACTTTTTCAGCATTGTAAGAGCCCAACCGTCCACTGCTATATCCTGGGTAGCGGCTAAAAAGTTTATCATGAAGAAAATGTACGCCAGCATTGTGATGTCTGGTTTTCCAGTTTCGGGTAGCAAGTTCTCAATGTCACTGGCTGCATAAATTAAAATCGCTCCTGTTAACAATATATTATGATTTACATAAAAAATTAGTGATTCACAACATAAACCATCTTAGTTCACATAAGAAGTTATTAGTAATTACTACCCACCTTAATATTGAAATTATAATTTTTCAGTTAATAGCACTTTTAAAATGTCTACAAACTCTTATACTTATAAACTTGTTAAAAAACAGGCTTCTATTGTTTTTAAGTATTAGTATCATGGTTTTTTTTTTAGATTACAAGAGTTATATTAATTTAACATGATTTATGTACCGATTGAATATTGAACGGGTATTAGCCAAGACTTTCGCCTTCCAAATTTTTGTACATAGAGTGCGTCTACTAAAGGTGCCCATAAGAGTTTCAAGCTAAATGGCCATCTTGTTATACTGTATACTGCCTGAAATGAAACAATATTACTTGATAAAATGGTGAATTTTGTTTATATACCATAATTATAGACTAATTACTAATATCTATAATCATAATGAATATTTATTATTTATTCGTTTACCTGATCTTTGTACGTCACATTTTTCTTGCTTTGCAATAGTACGGACATAGCCCCTGCTATGCCTAAAGGCAAGCCTTGCATTGTGTACAGTAATAATAACAAAAAAAAGTTTATCCAATCCCCTTTTAAATTTGTTTTGGTCATTGTTGCATCCTCCAGCTCCTCAGATATTTCTGCTTCTACTCTGTGTCTTGGCGATGATTTCATGTTTTTTTCAGTGCTCAAAACCTAACCGCTCCACGAGAAATGTATTGTTGAACTGAAAATAATAATTATACTATATTTTGAACACTAATAAATGTGTTCGTTATATTCTTATCATAATATGTATGACCTGCAGTATAATATTCTCTGTTCTAATCAACTATAATATGTGGCAAATTAGTGGACAGTAGTAATATACATCACAAACAAATTAAAATTAGATGATAGCTTGTATAGTCATAGTTTACACATGGTAATATTACGTAAAATTCAATAGCTACATTGTTTAGATATTTTTTTTACAGAAAGACAAATGAGAAATAAAAATCTGTAATAAAGGGAAAATTAACATATTAAAGTATTATAAAAACTTAAATTCATTAATATAAAATTAAATGTAAATTACCTATATTTCAAGCAATAACATTAAAAAAAGATCTCGAGTGAAACTAGAATTATCAAAATTATAAAAATATATAAGTACATATTTTTGAAATAAATAAACACAATTGAACAAATGACTTACGTATTAAGGTACTAAATTACATAAAATTAAATTACTGTTATGAAATTCAAATTAAAAAAATAATAATATGAGAAGTAACACAAATATAAATCCATAAGTTACATTAGATATACAATTTTTGAGAAGAAAATATTAGATCGTACTACAGTATAAACTTTATTTTACGTACTAAAATATAACGATGTTTACAAAATATCTTCGTAAATTATATTTATTATACCTTATGCTGTATTGTCAAAAGCTATTATTATAATATTTGTAATGCAATGTAGTTCATGCACCTTCCATTCATTAGATCCACCAGATATATCAATAAACTAATTTCAACATAATCAACACATATAATATTCGCTGATTAAATTATTTGTTATCATTATATATTAGCACGAAAAATAGAATATTCTTGTTCTTACGTTAATTATAATAACGCTGTGAAATAATTGAAACGATTATGTAATATATTTTAACACATGAACTTTGTACACATTTAATAATTATTAAACACATTTTACCAATCGCATTTTCTTAAACGTGAAAACAAAATTTTATCTCCAGCCTGGTACTTTAATTTATTGGATAATTTAATTTATTTTTGGTCATGGCTGTAATTCGACCAAACATATAATTTGTAGCTCAGTTCAAAGGAAGTTCATAGATGGAATTAGTGTTTGGGATCATTAGGAAAAGCCTCCTGAGTTGTGACTTGTGGATATATTTTATTTATTTTACTATTTTATACATACAAAGATGTATTGCTTTGATAACATTTTTAAAAACCATTTACCTATATATTAACGTAAATGTGTATGATGTGTATAAAAAATACAGTATTGTGTATACTTATTTTAATATATTATAATATTATACATGTATAATAAAATACATACCGATCATGAATTTTCAAGTCAATGACCAAGTTCAAACCCTGAGGTCAGCCAAACTACGTAAAGTCCACAACTGTTTACGCTGTTGTCGTTTCGAATGCACAAAAGGACCAATGACAAAAGTATGTTTCTTCGCAATCAACAAAATGCAAAAAGTTAATTTTTGGATCCATATGGTATGTTTCAGGCATGAGTTACGTCCGACACTCACCTGACAACGCCTAATATGATGGAGGTTATTAAAAATAATTATTGATAGTATTACTTTTACTTTTAGTGTATTACTGATCCGGAAACAAGGTCAATAAATTACTGCCACTGTCACTAGTAGCTAACGATGTGTGTTTGTTTGGCATGTCTGCACTATAATTTCGTGATCCGAATTCTGACCATTTGGACATGCGACACCCTCCATGGGTATTATTAATAGAAAAGGGATGGAAAGACGTTTTTTTATGGACCCCTCTATGTTGATTTCATTTTTCAAGGGGATGAGTGTCACGTAAACTTAAAAACTTAGTATTCAAATTTGTGTGCGAGGCGTGATAAATATTCACAAAAAAGTATTTTGAAAATGTTATTATAAGGGTTAAATTTAACAAAGATATTTTCCATTCCGTGTGTTCATATATATCATAACATTACATCTAACAAAATTCAAAGTACACACATCGACCACCAAATAGCTTCTTTTAAGTATCGAGTGTATTGTGAGTCATGATCTTACCACATGTGACATTGTACTAGATATATCATCTTTGAGATATAGACATACACAAGACCTATCGTTAAAAGTACATTGCGGTATCGCAAATGTACATAGAACCTACCAATATTTATAAACATGCGATTTTCCCACAGGTTGATCAACAAATTAATAATTAATAATTTAGTTCATAGTTATATTAATTCACGTAGAACAGTGAATATGGATCTTGTCACGTATACCTACTTATCATTTTTCACAATACATCCTAGTTGCGATTATCGTTTGACCATCCTTAGTTTGTTTTAATCGAATTGGAGGCTAATTCAGAACTTATGTTATATAATAAATAAAAATCTAAGAAAAAAACAATAAATCATAATTCGACATACTTAACAAATCACTGACAGTAAACATTGGTACCTCCTAATTGTATCGTATTAAGTTGACTTTTATATATAGATTATATTGTGCAAGCTAATAATGATAGTTTGTTTATTTTAAAAAAATGATTGTATAGAAACTGAAGGAATCTTAAAATGCATTGTTTAGGGTGACCGCACACTGGTAAAGCAAAATTGACTGAAGAAATGTAAGTCATATTTAGTCATTTTGCTTTAGTCATAATAAAGCATTGTTGTCGCAGACTAGATAAAACATAGTTAGTCAAATTAATGTATATCAAGTAGTCGTCAAAATGTCGTCCGACGAGGAGGATGTTGCTATTCCTATTTTATGGTTTTTTTTAAGAAAAAATTGAACAGGAAGAAAAAAAAAACTTTGGGTTCATCCTTTGAACTTGAAACGAACTGAAAATAATACAATTAAATGTTTTATTGATGAACTTCGAAATGACGGATGTAAATTTAGAAATTTTACACGAATGAGTACCCACACGTTTTATTATATTCTAGAAATATTTAACGATGAAATTCGAAAACCTGATACTAATTTCAGAAAAAGTATCACTCCAGAAGAGAAATTATTGGTGACATTGAGGTAAGTTAATAACAAATTCTAAATAATTAGATATTAGATTCTGAGCGGAACATAGCGAAATAATGTATTGATTTTACAATAATGTGTTTAAAAAAAAAAAAAAATCGTTTATCTTATACAATGATTTATCATTGAATTAAATTATAACATATCCATAACAACGACATGTTTGACAACTACTGAACAGTAGAGCGGTACCCACTTGTCCAACTTTTTTTACATTTTCATTTTTTCGCTCCACTCAGAATTTAAAATAGCAAGTAGTATAAAAATAATTCTTTTAGACTTGCGAATTCTCTTGAACGTATTACTTTTTATTGTTATAATATTATTTTAATAAAATGAGTTAACACTTAATAAGGTTAAACTTAATTATACTTAATTTTTAACAATATAAAAATGATAATTTATTATAATGAAAAATCAACTGTATAATGTATTAATGCAAAATATAAAAACTTGAACTACCCGACGAGGAGAAATCTGGAGAACTCGCAATGTATTGAATTGCATTAAATTGCTGCGGTTAATGATTTGCATTTAAATGATAAATGAGGTATAATATTAGAATGTGGCGCATTATTGTATCTTGGCATTTCATACGACGTTTCTTGGCTGTCAAGAAGCTGATCAATGGTATTTAATACAATTTTTTTGGATCGACGTTGATTTTGATAGTTTAATTTTAAAAAAATCTGGAATAATACTTTAAAAAAAAGAAATTTCAGGTGTATCCTCGTTATTTTTTTTGGTTGAGTTCTTGTCTTTAGACATTTTAACATCGGTTCCACCACACTTTCACTGGGTAACATTTTTCGGTTTATTCTTGGTTTTTTAAATAATGGTTCATTAATAGATTTTTCATTTTTTGCATCTTCAGTAACTATTGTTCGTAAAATCACTTCTTGTTCAACTGTTTCTAAATTTTGTTAAGTATCTAACCCTATAGGTTCTTCATCGAAACTATCGTTTTGAAAGTTATCTATATGTAATGGCGCAACTAGACCTCTAAAACGTAGGGTGCTAAATCTGTGAATGCATCACAGAGTTGTCTGGGGCAGAGCCACCCACACCCCCCTACACCTAAACCTACAATACTTAATAAATCAAAATTTTAAAATACATATTAACACACTTCACATAAATAAAGGAAAAGAAATTAATAATTCTCTTTTTTCTACAATATCAATAACATATTGGTACATTTTATTTTTAATAATCTTGTTAAGGAATAACTAAGATATAAGATATAAGAGTTTTACATTAAGTTATAGTGTAACCGTTAAGACTAAAAACAATATTGTGAGATGCCGGACAAAAAAATGGACTCTCGACAGTAGTGTATCTAAATGGCCTATACGCAGAGTTCCGTGTTCTGAATTGTTTAGATTTAAACACTTTGAATAATATTATGTTTCAGAATCTGAAATAAAAAATGTATCGTGTCATCCAAAGAATTCAAAAACTCGAAAACTGATAGGTCCATGTCGCTGGCACCCCCCATTTTGAATTTCGGGTCCAAACCCGGGGCGATCGTTTGTGCATCGTTAGTGCTTTTTATCCCGTCGTTAGTGCTTTGTCCCTTCCAAAGTTATTCGCATTTC